ATACCATCTTCTGACTGGAATATACCCTCAAAATACAGAGATCGTTTGAGGTGTTTGATGGCTTTCTATAAACTAAATCACACAGAGACCACCAACTGTGATTGTACTCCATCTGCTTTCATACTAATAAGAGGAAATGTAGAAAATGCAGGGTTTGGCAAATGTAACATCTGAAAATACCCGAAGAGGAGTTAGTCCATGAGCTTAGTCTTATGATATTTTCAAAGAACGTCGTAACTAAAGTAACACAGTTACTTTTCAGAATTTAAGACAGAATCACAAAATGGTAGGGGTTGGAAGGGACCTCTGTGGGTCATCTAGTCCAACCCTCCTGCCGAAGCAGGGTCACGTACAGTAGGTTGTAGAGGACCTTGTCCAGGCGGGTCTTGAATATCTCCAGAGACATCTTCTGACTGGAATATACCCTCAAAATGTAGAGTTCATTTGAGGTGTTTGATGGCTTTCTATAAACTAAATCACACAGAGACCACCAACCATGATTGTACTCCATCTGCTTTCATACCTAATAAGGGGAAACGTAGAAAATGCAGGGTTTGGCAAACTTAACATCTGAAAATACCTGAAGAGGAGTTAGTCCATGAGCTTAGTCTTATGATATCTTCAAAGAACGTAGTAATTAAAGTAACACAGTTACTTTTCAGAATTTAAGACCATGTTTGAAGCCTTGAATTCAAGTTCTTGATTTTGAGAGGTGCTTCTTTTTGCCTCACTTCTCCCCCCCGCCCCCAAAGGGCATGTACTGGTATATTAATTATCTTGCAATGAAAGAAAAGGAGAAAGAAGCAGCCTCTGGGTTATGCCCAAGAGCTGTGTACAGATTGTCAGTCAACGAAGTAAGTTCTAATGAACTATTAATGAATATAAAGTCTTTAACCTGAAATTTGCTATTAGAACTGATTTTGAGGTTTGAGCTCTAGTTTATCATAAATAATTTCATTTATGAAACAGTACATCATCATTGAGTCACTTGGGATGAATGCACATCTTGAAGCGTTGTAACTAAAGGAATGCATTTATTTTTGGAAGGAAATAAAATGCCTCATGGTCTAGTCATTGCTTCATTGTTCTTGTGTCTGTTTTATGAAAATATTATTGATAAACTAGTTAGTTTCTCAGAATTGCATCCCATATTGTCTTGATGACCTTGGGGCATGCATCACTTCCTGGATGAAAGGACACAGTGTACCCTCAGCAAGTTTGCTGATGACACAAAACTGGGAGTAGTGGTGGATACACCAGAAGGCTGTGTTGCCATTCAGCAAGACCTGGACAGGCTGAAGAGTTGGGCGCAGAGGAACCTGATGAAGTTCAACAAGGGCAAGTGCAGGGTACTCCACCTGGGGAGGAATAACCCTGTGCACCAGTACAGACTTAGGGCTGACCTGCTGGAGAGCAGCTCTGTGGAGAGGAACCTGGGTGTCCTGATGGATGACA